TGAGGAGGTGAGAGAGGATGTTTGGGTGGAGGGAGGGAGGGAGGGAGGAAAGTTTATATGAGTGCGTGTGCATCTGTGGGAGGGAGGGAGGGAGGGAGGGAGGGAGGAGAGAGGGTTAAAGTGAAGTCTGAGGCCTGCTCAGACTGACTAAGCACCAGAAGTCGATAGAGCGTGAAACATCCCAGCACAGCTCACACACCATATGTGCGTCCGTCCTCCAATAACACAATAACCGATTGATGTTATATACCTCATTGATTTATACCTCATCGGAAAGGTCTAGCATGTGGGAGTGTCATGGGCATATTTTGCAGGGGGAATCTCATATGTATGGCATATGACCATGATGAATTATGACCTAAACAAGCTCATCACATATGTATGGCAGTTTTGCTTAACATGTACGCACAGTGTTAAATGGTTTGCGAGTGGTATCATTGAAATCTACATTCCATATTGGATCCTTTGGTTGCGAGCGTAGCTGCAATAATACAGCAGAAAATAAACAAAAACACCTGCAGATGTTACATACAATAAATTATTGTTTGAAACTGTGATGAAACACACTCCAACCTATGCAATTTGTTGTAACTAGGAACCTGGTTGTTAGTCAATTGGTGGATCACTCAATCTGCAACTATTTGTGGGACCCTGCTGCGCGAGATTGCCTGCCTTATTTCACCCACAAAACGTCCAGTCGATTCACTCTACAGTATGTTCCGTGAAGTGCTTTTAGAGACAAGAACTCTCAGTCCCAAAGACGTGATAAGGCGCTATATCAAATGCAAGGATTAGTATTATTATAACCAAATCATAAATTAGAATTGTATAACTATGACAGATACTTCAAGTCTTATTCATTTCCAGGAAAAATATGTGAAAGAATATAACCCCAGCTTTTCCTCTTCAATCCATTTGCAGCTTCTCTGACTCACACTGTTCTAATAAGGAATGCTATTTTAATAGAGATCTGCATTGTCCTTTCCAACCAGTGGTGTTGATTGGAAAGGAGCCCGACCCCCCACAGCGAGAGCACCCTGTCTATTTGGCAGCCCAGCTGAGCCCCGCACAACCCAGCCCAGCGCTGACCAGCCCAGCCTAGTGCAGAGCAGCCCAGACCAATGTAGCCCAGCACAGCAGGGACCAGCTGAGCCCAGCGCAGACCAGCCACGTGCTGAACAGCTCAGTACAGCAAAGCCCAGCTCAGTCCGAATTTTTCTTTGTGGTGGACGAACAATGTCAGTTGGCTATTGCCGCCGCTTGTTACGCAAGCCTGAGATGCTAAGGGCAGCCCCCAATGGACTTTGTGGCTTTTACTCTCTCCCTCACCCTTACCCCACCCCTCCCCCAATCTCGGGTCCTGACTCCTGACTGTCCAGCGCCTTGGGATGTCCTCCCAACGTGAAAGGCGCCCTATAAATGTAATTTTGTTGCTGCTGTTGTTATAGTAGTACAGCGAGACGGCACTACAGTGCAAACGTTATACTCTCCAAACACCAATCGAAGGCTTGTGTCATTTGTTACCAGCAATTCAAAAAGATACTTCCGCGTTTCACCCACAAAATGTACAGTCGATTCACTGTACAGTATGTTCTGTGAAGTGCTTTTACAGCCAAAATCTCTCAGCCTTAAATGCAAATGCAAGGATTAGTATTATTATAACCAAATCATAAAGGCATTTTCACTTCCATGGAGTCCTGTAGCTCAGTGGTTAGATCACTAGCCTTGCGAGCGAGAGTCCTGGGTTCAAATCCAGGTAGGGCTAAACCTTGGGAAGGTTTCCTTACTCCACATGCCTGATAATAATCCCTCAAGAAAAAGAACAATAATAAATTGATCATTTTCAATCCACGACTGTTTGTGGGACACTGCTGTGCGCAATTGGCTGCTGGTTTCGCCCACAAATATACAGTTAAATCACTTTACAGCATATTCTGTGAAGCACTTTGAGACGTCTAGAAAAAATGAAAAGCGCTACATCAAATGCAAGGATTATTATTATTGTTATTACAAACTGCCTTTCAGAATTGTATAACTATTACGGATACTTCAAGTCTTATCAATTTCCAGGAAAAATGAATGTGAAAGAATACAACCCCAGCTTTTCCTCTTCAATCCATTTGCAGCTTCTCTGTCTCACACTGTTTTAACAAGGAATGCTATTTTAATAGAGATCTTCATTGTCCTTTCCAACTAGTTGTGTTGGTTGGAAAGGAGCCCGACCCCCCACAGCGAGAGCATCCTTCCCATTTGGCAGCTGAGCCGAGCCCCGCACAGCCCAGCCCAGACTAGCCCAGTCTAGTGCAGACCAGCCCAGACCAATGCAGTCCAGGCTGACCAGACCAGCGCAGACCAGCCCAGCGCAAAACAGAGCAATGCAGCCCACCCCAACCCAGTGCAGCCCTGACCAACCCAGCCCACTGCAGCCCAGACCAGCCTTGACCAACCCAGGCCAGTGCAGCCCAGCCTTGACCAGCCTGAATCGTTCTTTGTGGTGGAGGAGCAACGCTAGTTGGCTGTCACCACCGCTAGTTATGCAAACCTAGTGCAGACCAGCCCAGCCTAGTGCAGACCAGCCCAGCCTAGTGCAGACCAGCCCAGCCTAGTGCAGACCAGCCCAGCCTAGTACAGACCAGCCCAGCACAATCCAGCCCAGTCCAGCACTGACCAATCCAGCCTAGTGCAGACCAGCCCAGCCCAGTGCAGACCAGCCCAGCCTAGTACAGACCAGCCCAGCACAATCCAGCCCAGTCCAGCACTGACCAGTCCAGCCTAGTGCAGACCAGCCCAGCCCAGTGCAGACCAGCCCAGTCCAGCACGGACCAGCCCAGCCTAGTGCAGACCAGCCCAGTGCAGACCAGCCCAGCCCAGTGCAGACCAGCCCAGCACAATCCAGCCCAGTCCAGCACTGACCAGCCCAGCCGAGCCCAGCCTAGTGCAGACCACCCCTTGACCAGCCCGGTGCAGCCCAGCCCAGACCTGCCTGAATCGTCCTTTGTGGTGGAGGAGCAATGCCATTTGCCAGTTACGCAAACCTGAGGTGCTCGGGGCAGCCCCCAGTGGACTTTGTGGCTTTCACTCTGTGCTGCAGCGCAAACTTTATACTCTCCCAACGCCAAACCCAAGGCTCGTGTCATCTGTTCCCAGCAATTCAAAAAGACACTTCTATAGCCTTAAGCTTTCCCTGTGCACCAATGACCGCCACGCGAGTAAACGTACAAATACTGTGTTAACATCAAACCATAAACCTCTCGCCCCAGTCTGTCGCCCCCTATGCCCCGCGCTGAATAAAAAGGCTATTTATTAAAACAATAACGTCAGTATATTTGTCTGAAACAGCCGAGGGTTTCAGGTTTCCTCTTCGAATGTCAAAGCAACTCAAACGGATCTGCCTTTCGCTCTGAGAAAGCCGTCCCCGCGGACCGCGTCTCTGCGGGAGGGCAGTTTGCACAGTTCGCAGTGCAGACTGAGCGCTTGTGCTGATAGAGCTGAAAACAACACCGAACCACAAGCGCACAAGTCTCGCAAAGCCACACACACACACCACCACACACACACCCCACACACTCACACACCACCACACCCCCTCACACACTCACACACACCCACACACACACCCCACACACCCCTCACACACTCACACACCCCCACACACACCCACACACACACCCCTCACACACACACACACCCCACACCACACCACCCCCACACACACACCCCCACACACACCACCCCACCCCCCCCACACACACACACTCACACACACCACCCCACCCCCCCCACACACACACCCCCCCCCACACACACACCCACACCACACCAACCCCCCCACCCCCCCACACACACACACCCCACACACACACCACACACCCCCCCACACACACACACACACACACACACCCCCCACACCCCCCCCACACACACACACCCCACACACACCCCCCCCCCCACACACACCCACACCCCCCCCCACACACACACACCCACACACACACCCCCACACACACACCCCCACACACCCCCCCACACACACACACACACCCCACACACACCCCCACACACACTCCACACACACACCCGCACACACCACCACCCCCCCACACACACACACACCCCACACACACACCCACACCACACACACACACACCCCCCACACACACAAACCACCCCCCCACACACAAACCACCCCCCCCACACACACCACCCCCCCCACACACACCACCCCCACCCACACACCACCCCCCACACACACACACCTCACACACCACCCCCCCCCACACACACACACCCCACACCACCCCCCCACACACACACACCCCCCAAACACACTCACACACACACACCACCACACACACACCACCCCCACACACACTCACACCCCCACACACACACCACACCACCCCCCCCCCACACACACACACACACTCACACACACACACCCACACCACCACCCCCACACACACACCACCACACACACTCAGACCCCCCCCCCACCCACACCACACCACCATCCCCCCCACACACACCACCACACCCCCCCCACACATACACCCACACCAACCCCCCCCTCCACACACACACACACACTCACATACACCCACACACCACCCCCCCCCCCCCACCCACACACACACACTCACACACACCCCCCCCCCCCCACACACACACACCCCCCCCCCCACACACACACACACCCCCCACACACACACACACCCCACACACACACACACCACCCCCCTCACACACACACAACCCCCCCCCCCCCCACACACACACACAACCCCCCCACACAGTCACACACACCACCCCCCCCCCACACACACACCCCACACACACACCACCACCCCCCCACACACACACCACCACCCCCCCCCCTCACACACACACAACCCCCCACACACAGTCACACACACCACCCACCCCCACACATGAGACACCCCCCCCCCCACACACACACAGCAACGTCGCTCCCTGTCCCTCCCTGTCCCTCTCGCCCATACCTTGGTACCCATTGGCTGCGAAGACTTGCAGAACGAATAGGAAAATGCATTTGACGGAAAGGTCCATCGCTGAGCGCTGCGGCGGCTTCTCCCTCCCGCGCACATCAGAGCAACTTACACATCAAACTACCAGCAGCAAACGCCGCCTTTACCGGAAACTGCTGCCCAGAAGCAGTGAGTTGTCGGTCTAAAGCCACTGAATTACACCAGAAAAATCCTACACTCCCGCACTCCCCAACCACTCAAACTTCCGCAACGCGAAACACACGGGATGTGTCGGTCCGGTGTCGGTCACAATAACAGCGATGTCAGATCCTGTCTAAAGTTAAGCTGTATTTTCAAGGCTAAGTCTCTCACAAGTTGGAGAATTTAAGGTAATCGGTTTTATTCCAGAAAATATCTGCTCCTGGGAGAGTATTTTTCTTTCAAAGCAAACATAGCCCCGATCTTCCAAGTTTATATCAAATCCAAATACATGACTTGTGTTTCTGAATCCATCTGAGACATGTTGCATGACAGCGAGTGTGACAAATGGCACGGTTCGGAAAGCTAACTTGTCATCTTATCTTGGTCGGAGTCCTGCGGCGCAGTGGTTAGAGCACTCGCTTTGCAAGCGAGAGACCTGAGTTCAATTCCAGGCAGAGGGCGAAACCTTGGGCAAGTTTCCTTACTCCACACAGAGCCTAATAATAATCCCTCCAAAACCAAAAACAATAATAAATTGGTCATTTTCAATCCACGACTGTTTGTGGGACATTGCTGTGCACAATTGGCTGCTGCGTTCGCCCACAAATATACAGTCAATTCACTTTACAGTGTGTTCCGTAAAGCGCTTTGGGACGTCCTCCCGACGTGAAAAGCATTATATCAAATGCAAGGATTATTATTATTATTAACAAATTAGCCCACAAAATACAGTCACTTTACAGTATATTCTGTGAAGCACTTTGAAATGTCCTTCCAAGGTGAAAGGACCTGTATTAAAGGTAAGGCTTACTGTATTATTATACTGACAACTGTTTTTTAAATGTTTTTTCTGGACCTCCTACAAGTAGTTACTTGTGTACCAGGTGAGTTAGGGAAATAAGAGATGTTACACCAAGAATGTTGTTCCCAAGACACTGGTGTAAAAATGTTAAGTGGCACAGTAACAGTCTAGCTACCATATGAAAACACTAAAGGCTCAATAATGTAGTAGCAACCTTCTTGCAAACGTAACTTTTTGAATTAGAACAATCCAATGGTAAGATCCAATATGTCACATCAACTTTCTCCTAACTTGGCCAATATAGGAAAACCCAAATCTTCTTTACCCCTACCCTCTGGATCTCCATCCCACAGTCACACCGCCTTGCTCCCTCCCTTGCCTCCTTAAAGACCCGTCTCTTCAACCCTGCCTTCAGTTTCCCTCCTACCCTTCCTGCCACCCCCTACCCTCCCAGATCCTGACCCACAGCTCAGATCCAAATCCCAAACTGTCCAGCACCTTGGGACATCCTCCCGACATGAAAGGCACTTTACAAATGTAGTTTTGTATTGTATTGTATGAGTTGGAGATCGTTAGCTGGAGGAGAACAGAGGAGCAACAGGATAAGAGTTTTTTTTGAAGAAACCTGAACATGGGAGAATGGAGAAGCAGCGCCTCCTGGGAAGTAGACAAACTAGTACATACATGCAACTGAAATAAACTGCTGCAAGTGCAATTAGACAAAATCTTGTAGGGGCTACACAAAGAAGCAAAGGATAGACTGGTGGAACAGCACATAACAAAATAATGTTGTAAAAAAGGTTTAAGATAGAACTGTGTGGGCAGTTTAAAGACAAAGTAATAACACAAGGCTTGTACCAACATTACACTAACCTTACAGAAATGCTCAGAATACCATCGAGAAATTGCTAGTTATGGTCATTCACTTCATCATTGTTGTAGGACTTTGCTGCATGCACATTCACTGCTGAGTTTGCATACAAAATACATTTATTTCACTCTGCAGCAAATCCTGTAAAGTGCTTTAAAGTCACGATAAGGTTCTTTATCAAATGCAGGCAGTGTATTATTATGATGGAGGCAATAGCATCAGATGAAGCAAGGTAAAATGTTGCCTCAGGAATCAAATTCTGGCAGCAAGTAAGCTGAACTTTGAGCTCCCTATAAGCTAACAATTTTGGTTTTATATCACTGGTTTGCATAGGGCTTTAATGAATATTACAGAAGATTTCAGCATTAAAATAATACAATTTTGTGAGAGTTGTGCAAAGTGTGGACATTTTAAAAATGTTTTCCAAATTAAGACTGAATTTGAGAATTTTCCATAATCTGTGCCATTTTAAATTTAATATAAAATGGATCAATCAATAATGAAATTGTCTCTGTCTCGTTTACACTCATTTCAGTTTAACTCTGCAGTGAAACACTAACCATTATTCATAGTAAATGCAAATATGTTCAACTACGTTTAATGCCTAAAATCAATGTGGCATAAATTCAACAGCCTTGATGGCAGTTAGATATGCTGAAATGATTCACATTGAGAATTGAGGCATTATAACCTCATAATCCTTGTCTTTGTTATATATTCAGATACTATTTTTTCATCAAGCTTGTTCAACCAACTTTATATGTTTTTGTGAGTATCTGCTGGCAACTGGTGATATTCCAAGCTACATGTCTAGACTGGTTCCAGGTTTTACAGTAATGTTGTAAAACATAACGAGAGGTAAGGGAATAACTGTTCATGGGAAAAACACACATGGGTTTTCCTGAAGACTCAGAAGCATCACAAGAAATAGGAGCGTCAATTTTTATTTTCATTTTTTCATGCAAAACGTTTTGTTATATCATTATTAAAATAAATGTTGAATTTATTTCTGATGGCATGTAATTATATTAGTTTTTCTTTAACAAAAAGCAGTTATTTGAAGTATCTGAGCTTGGCAATAATACAGGTATCTATCATCCAATCACAGTGATTATTTTGAATGGCTTTAAATCTAATAGTGTGTCACCTCTCCAAACCTCTGTGGTTGTTTCCAAAGTTAGGCAATCTCTGCTGCCAATATATTTTGGATTCTGCTGGGTGCTGCAGAATGTAGTTTTACAAAGCTACCACTGTGTTTCTTAGATCCTGTGCTATTTTTACTCTATAGATCTATATACCAATTTATTTTTGTTTAAATACAGCACCAAGCAGCGCAAGGATAGCAGAAGAACATTTTAAAGATCTCAAGTGCCGGATATCATATAAAAAGTTAGTGAGGCATTGGAGTTCATTTTGCACAACATTTTGCACTTTTGAATTAAGCCACAATTAAACTTAAAACAAATGCATAGTTTTCTGCTGAGTTTCAAACATTGAGATAATATACATTCAATTTAATCTTCTTTTGTACCATGTGGAATATTTCAGATTACTGCTCTAGTATAGGAATTTTCCTTCTAGTTGTTATGATAAGTTTATTTAAGGTGTATTTGCTGGATTCTGTGACATCTGGTAAATGGAAGGAATCTCCATTTGTGCCTTGGATTCCTTATTTGAAAAAAAATGTGTTAAGCAATTAGACCCCATTGTTTCTCTTTAAATATGTATAAAAATGTGTCACTATCACTCAGCTGGTAACACTCTCACCACTGGGCCAGAAAGTTGTAAATTCAAGGCCACATTGGAATGTGAGCTTATAGTCCAGGTTTATACTGTAGTACTGGGGGAGCGCTGCTTAAAACCGAGGTCCTTACTGCTTCTTCAGTTGGAGGTTAAAGACAATATTCAAACAGATAAAGCCTAAGGACTGGCGTGTGGAGTCATGGGCATGAGAGGTTTTTTTGGGGTGGGGGGTTGGGGGGAGGTGCGGGCAGCAGAATTTGGAATTAGCTGGAATTTTTGGATGGTCAATCTAGGGAGACCGTTCGGAAGTGCATTTGAGAAGTTCAGTAATGAAATAACAAAGGAACATTCAGTTTACAATCACATCGTCCCTCTTGAAAAGATATTTTAGAGCAGAAAAGAACCATTTTACAGCTACAATTCACCTCAGTTCCCCCAGGCTGTTGAAAAGAATAAATGGGTGAAGGGAAACAATATTGTCAACACAGAGACTGTGATATTTGTACACTTTATTCAAGGTTTGTTTTTAAAATCCCAGGATAGTCATCAAAAATCTGTTTAAAGGCACTTTTTAATTAAAAAAACTTCACATTTAATAATTTACCACTAATTTAAAACAGCTTTTGTTAAACAAGCATGTATAAAATTGGTGTGTGTTTGTATGGAGACACAGAACTTTAACCATTTATGCCCATCCTACTAACATGAAATTTAAATGTGTACATTTTCTTTTGTATTGACATCAGGGGGAAAAATTATATTGCAGTCCATCTGTGGCAAGATAGACTACAATATAATTTGCAGTCCATCATAGCGAGATACAGTACTTTCAATTCAATAAATAAAACCTGGGCTCCCTTGGCAGCTTAGTGGATAAAAGCTACTGCCTTGTTTGATAACAAGCTATAAAGAACAAGAAGCTTCTGGGTGCCTGATCTATGTGGTTAGTTGAACTCAGCCAGGCAAGCAGAAGAGGCACTACAATTTGCCTCAGTTTCCCTAGGCTGTTGAAAGCAAATCAGACGAAGTTCCTGATTCTACTCTGAATCACAGAATTGTGGAGTCTTGTAACTTAGTGGTTAGAGCACTTGCCTCGCAAACGAGAGGACCTACGTTCAGTTCTCAGTCAGGAGGAAATGTTGGGCAAGTTTCCTTACTCCTCTCGCCTCTGTTTATCTAGCAGTAAGTAAGAACCTGTTTGTTAGTCGACTGGGTGATCGCTTTTCCAGGGGTATTAATCCCTTCAAAGAAATCAAAAAATATAATAATTTGGTCACTCAATCCATGAATGTATGTGGGACACTGTTGTGCGCAATTAGCTGCCACGTTCCGCCCACAAAATATACAGTCAATTCACTTTACATTATATTCTGTGAAGCGCTTTGAGACATCTCGAAGATGTGATAAGGCGCTATATCAAATGCAAGGATTATTATTATTGGCTAGAAAAAATATTCATCTTGGGTTTAACATAAAGAACAGGGCAAGATACTGGAGTGTGACTTTGGCTATGGAATGTTACCTTCAAAGAGATCCAGTGCCATCAACAAAAACAATTAGAATCTGACTCTTAACACAATCGAATGTTAAAAAAAGATTAGCAAAGAAATTCATATTTTTAAACATTTTACAGGCATTTACATTGTCCACAAAATAAAGCGTAATTTACATAGAAAAACAATTTCAGGATAAATAATGTAAGTTTCATATTTATGTATAAAATTATAACACCACCATGGGAGTTCCATTATATTGGAACATTCAAAGCTTATGTTCGTATAAAGTATACCCATTTATATTAATATGATCAAACTAGTTGTTGAAATACAGTAAACTGATAATTCGTCACTCCAAGGGGAAAGGGATCAGTGACAACTTATCCGAAGTGGCAAGTATAAATACCTAAATAAATGTGGCTGGGATATTGACAGCATGATAAATTAAGTGGTAATTTCAAATTAAGCTAGGGTCGAGTTATCGGGAGTTTACTGAATTATCACCATGACTGCTATGGAAACATTGAAAAATAAAAACAATCTGTTTAGCAGTGTGTGTTACATAATAGGTCTTCATAGTCTCCGGTTCTAATAACACTGATCTCCAGAAAGCCTCAACTTCACTGATAAATGAAAAGCAACTACATTGAAGGACAACTGATGATGACTGATCATAATGGTATACATAAAGTGCAATGTGTGCTTCTGAGCTGCTTGGACTAAGATTGTTTCCTTCTGTCCCCCTTTGTTTTATACTAACACACAAGTTGCTGAATTTGACTTTTTTTCATGATTGCTCGGTCCTATTTTTTCAGTTTCAGCCCCTGGAGTGGTCCCTGAGATATTGTTTCCTGAGTTCTGATTTACGCCGTTTCCTTCAGTGCTGGTTGGATTTTCCCTTTCCTGTTTGTTTTCCTTGATGTTATCATTTGTTTTTGTTTCTTCTTTATTCTCTACTTTTTTCTTAATATCTTTGGTGAATTTTTTAAGCAGTGACATCTGAAATTATAGAACAGAACACCATTTACATTGGGGCAATGAAAAATGTGAGATTTAAACAATCATTTTAAAATATCAATTTTCTGACTATAAGTTCAATCAAAGCAAGTATATGAACTTGATATACCTATTCATATATTATTTTATAGATTCATTTAAATTTAACAATCAATATTGCTTTTGACAGTAAACTTCACTGCTGAAGATAAGTTCAAAACTCACAAATGATAAACAGGAAGAACTTGATATGGAGGAAATGTACTCATGTATTTCACAATTATCCATTGTTTACATGACTGTTTTTAAAGGCAACTTACTGAATACTGTATCAATTCTCTGGCTACATCCATTTCTTTAAAATGTTTTCATTATAGTCACAAGAAATATACGGAAGACTTTTTTAACTGATAGAAAAGTTGTTAGATTTTCACATTTTAATTAGTAAATCTTGGAAGAACCAAAATTTATATCTCGCCACAGATCAACTTTAATATACTCAGTCACAGTCTCAACTGCCTTGACGTGATTAGTTCTGGCTTGAATACACTCATTCCTTGGCTCAATAGTCAATCCCATCCTGACTATACTCATTCACTGCCTCAGCACAAATCAATCCCTGTCTAAATAGACTCACTCACTGTCTCAACACGAACATTCTCAGATTCACCATAATATGTTCAATCCCACACTAGAAGCAACACACTTCTAGGTTTGCCCTTTACAACAACAACAACAAAATTACATTTATAAAGCGCCTTTCACGTTGGGAGGATGTCCCAAGGCGCTGGACAGTCATAGGTCAGGACCCGAGCATGGAGGAGGGGTGGGGTAGAGGTGAGGGAAGGCAGAGAGGTGGGAGGGTGACTGAAGGCACGATCAAAGAGGAGGGTCTTGAGACCGGCCTTGAAGGAGGCAAGGGAAGAAGCGAGGCAAAGGGACTGTGGGATGGAGTTCCAGAGTGTGGGGGCAGAGAGGCTGAAAGCTCAGCCACCGATGGTAGGGCGGGTCGGGAGGGAGACATGGAGCAGACCGGAGCCTGCTGAACGGAGGGAGCAGGCAAGTTGATAGGGGGTCAGAGAGGTAAGAGGGGGCAAGGCCATGGATGGCCTTGAAAGTGAGGACGAGGATCTTGAATTTGATCCTCTGGGGGAAGGGGAGCCAGTGGAGTCGAGTGTGGGTGGGAGTGATGGAGTCACGGAGCCTGGTGCGTGAAAGTACATGAGCTGCAGAATTTTGGATGATCTGCAGCTTGTGAAGGGAAGAGTTGGGAAGGCCGATGAGGAGGGAATTCCCATAATCAAGCCTTGATGAGATGAATGTGTCGGTGAGGGTTTCGGCAGCCTGAGGGCTGAGGCAGTGGCGGAGTCTGGCAATGTTGCGGAGGTGCTGGTAGGCAGTGCCGGTTATGGCGCGGATGTGGGGGAGAAAGGACAGTTCAGGGTCAAACAAAACATCAAGGTTCTTGACTGGCTTAGTGAGGTTGAGTGTGTAACCGTGGAAGCTGATGCTGCCAGCGCCCGAGGTGTAGAGGCGCTGGCGCGAGCCAATCAGGAGAGTCTCGGTCTTGCTGACGCTCAGCTGGAGAAGGTAGTCCCTCGTCCAAGACTTCATGTCGGACAGGCAGTCGGTCAGGACCCCAGTAGTCCAGGAGTTGAGGGTGGAGGCAGAGAGGTAGAGTTGGGTGTCATCCGCATACATGTGGAAATTTACCCCATGTCTGCAGATGATGTCACCAAGGAGGAGCATGTAGAGGGTGAAGACGAGGGGACCGAGGACAAAGCCCTGAGGAACACCGCACGAGACCGTGCGAGGGCTGGAGGAGAAGCCGTTTGCAGAGACGAAGTGGAGGCGGTGTGAAAGGTAGGACCCGAGCCAGTCGAGGACAGAGCCTTGGAGATTGAGGTGGGAGGAGAAGCGGTGGAGGAGGATTGAGTGGTCCACAGCATCAAAGGCAGCGGAGAGGTCGAAGAGGATAAGGAGGCAGAGGGAGCTCTGGTCGCACATCGTCAGGATGTCATTTATGACCTTGACCAGAGCAGTTTCCGTGCTGTGGGCAGCACGGAAACCCGATTGGAGGGGCTCATGGAGGGAGTGGGAGGAGAGGAAAGAACGAAGCTGGGAGGCAACGGCTCTCTCAAGGACCTTGGACCGAATAGGGTGGTTGGAGATGGGCCGGTAGCTGGATAGCTGTGTTGGGTCAAGGGAAGGTTTCTTATGTTTATAGTGTAAAAACTGAAATCTATCTCCAGCTTTGAGATACATTGTAAAAATACTTAAAAGGAAGCACTAAACTACAGTTTGAATGTGCCAGGACTGGCCTTGGTGTATTATGAGTTAGTTAAAATTAACTTAGCATCCCATAGCTTCAAAGGGAGAAAACAGATCAAGTTCTCCACTCCTAAATGCTATCCAGCTACATCTCTTGGAAATTCAAATGTGTGGCCATTGCATCAAGACTGGGCTGGATTCAGCTTTGATGGCTGACACATACTTGGAAAGGGTATTGCAGGCCTGATGGCAACCATAACATTATATAGTAATAAGAGTTAATGTCATCAGTAACGTGGTAAGGAGAGAAAATGGAGAAAAAACGCTTAAAACACATTTTAAGTGGAACAGTACTTTGAAGTTTAAAGGTGATGGAAGGGAGAACAGTGCCTGACATTACCTCATAGTTAGTATTAAAGCTCATGCCATGCGTGAGTTTCTTATTTATAATTTGTGAGCCGTGAAGTTACTCAAGCATGAGATACTGTAGATATTTCACACATATCCATTACATATCCACTATTTGTAAATCAAGTATTGGTGTCACTAGTTCAGACTTGCTGAAATTATGTTTCAAAATATTTAGACGAGTACATTTTTGTATAGTAAGATAAGAGGGAGAGTTTTCATATTGTTACTAGGGTTATTCACTTAACATCTTTAAGGTGTTTAAGTACTGATAGATCTCTCACAGCAGACCTTTAACTTAACTTTAACAGTATTAACCCTTGATTACATCATCCTGGATAGTAGTACCTTGTTGAAAGCAGTTTTTTCTTGGAAACTGCAGTTCATTCTGAGCATCAGCTTAATATTCTTTAGCATATTGCATGTTTTTTTTGCCAATTTTCCATGTCCTTTTATTGCAAAAAACAGTCCCAGCCAGCTTTCCCTTTTCTACCTGAGTAAAACATTGCTTCCCTTTCAATTTAAAATGATCTCCCACTCCACTACCGACTCATCACATGGGCCCTACTCACCAATTGGGCTCCATTCCCCAATTCACCATGTGCTTTGCTCCCTGACTTACTGTATGGCTCTGCTCCCTAGATCAACATATGTACATGCTGCACTCTGACTCACCAAGTGGATTATTGTGGATTCTGCTGCACTCCCCTCCTCACCATATAAACTTTACTTACCTGCAATTGACTTACCATAACAACTATCATTCATATGAGCTCTGTTCTGCTCCACCATCCATTTAATTAGAGATGAGAAACTTCTATTACTTTAAGGTCATTTTTATAATTTTAGGTTGAGGGTGTGTTGTGAAGTTGGAGGATGAGTAAGATAAGAAAATTACAAGCAAACAAGAAAGAGATGCTACAAATCGTCTTACATTTTTTGTTCTGCTGAGGAAACTATTTGATTTTGTTAATTCGCTCTTAACTTTGGTTTCTCTTGAATTGTCTGTGTCTTCATTCTTCTGAAGATCTTCAAAAAGAAAAGCAGAAGGGATATGGCTATTTTTTACTAATTCAGTTGTCAATTTAAAAAGTCAACATTAGGTGATTAACTATAATAATAATATACTAATAATCCTTGCATTGGTTATAATTAAGATTTAAAAAAACTTTTATTTGGCCAGCAAGAGGAACAAGGTATAACTCACCAAGTCTCATGGGATGGGAGTAGGAAGTTACAAAGGGATTTAGACAGATTAAGTGAGTGGGCAAAGTTGTGGCAGATGGAGTTCAATGTGGGGAAGTGTGAAGTCATCCACTATGGATCAAAAAAAGATAAAGCAGAATATTTTCTTAATAGGGAGAAATTAAGAACTGTGGAGGAGCAAAGAGATTTGGGTGTCCACACCCACAAATCACTAAAAACTAGTTCTCGGGTGCAAAAAGTAATCAAAAAGGCGAATGGAATATTGGCCTTTATCTCAAAAGGCCTGGAATACAAAGGAGAAGAAATGATGCTTCAGCTGTATAGAGTTAGTCAAACCCCATCTGGAGTACTGCATTCAGTTTGGGGCACTGCACCTCAGGGAAGATATATTGGCCCTGGAGGGATGCAGTGCAGGTTCACCAGAATGTTACCAGGCCTAAAAGGGTTAAGTTATGAGGAAAGGCTGAATAAACTTGGATTGTATTCCCTTGAGTTTAGGAGGTTGAGGGGTGATTTGATTGAGGTATTTAAGATGATAAAGGGATTTGATAGGGTAGATACAGAGAAGCTATTTCCTCTGGTGGGGGAAATTCAAAACAAGAGGGCATAGTCTTAAAATTAGAACCAGGACATTTAAGAGTGAAATCAGGAAGCATTTTTTCACTCAAAGTATGGTAGAAATCTGGAATTCTCTTCCCCAAAAGGCCGTGGATGCTGGATCCATCCACACCTTCAATAGTGAGATTGACAGATTTTTGATAGGTCAGGGTATTAAGGGATATGGGCAGAAAGCGCGAAATTGGAATTGAAAGGATTAGTTGAGGTACAGATCAGCCATGATCTAATTAAATGGTGGAACAGGCTCGAAAGGCTGAAAGGCCTCCTCCTGTTCCTATGTTCTTATGTAACGGTAATATAAAAACATATTCCTGAGAAAAAAGTATGCTTTAGTTTTTAAATTTAGTGAACTAGGTAAATATAATTTTTAATGGATAGTTTGCAAATTCCAGTCTTAAATAACATGGAATTTAAAACTGGAAAAATATTTTGTTGTCTTTAGTACAACTGTATTGTAATTTTTTTCTTTACCAAATTCAGTTCACATTTTTGTTTTGCAAACAAGTTCATGAACGGAAAGAAAATGGAAGAGCCTCTGCCAAAACTTTCAAAGGTGATGTTTGAATGTTTGTACACTGTAAAGTCTGCACAAAATGATAGCTTTAGATTTAACTTTTCATATATAAATATAAGTTCATCTGTGCATTAGCAATGTTCTTGGAAGCAGTTTGGTTGTACCCAACACAAAGCTAATTAAAATTCCTTTATCTATTGATTTACAAATTAGACAGGAGTTAACAGGATGTAATTTGTGGTATTTCTTACTGGGATTATTTAATCCAGTCAAAACGCATGACAACCTACAGTAACTCCAATCTGTAAATAGATTATGCCAGAGCAGAATTTCTAGAGGTCCACATGATGATCTATCAAATGAGCCCTCATTTATGTGACTGATTGCTTATCAAGGAATCCCATTAAATAATATTGCAAATTTGATCCCAATAACTGCTTATTTAATCCCAATAACTGTTCATATCAAGTGAAAAAGACTGCAACTGATATTAAATAAACATAAATGAATGAAAATCAGTCTGAGCAACCCAGCCCTCGTTAAGAACATAAATTGATTGAAAGCATCACTAAATTGAGCGGTAGCCTCTCATATTCAGTATAACTGACTGACATATTAATTAAAATACCACAGAAAGAATTGATGGTGCCCAAAATTATAAAGCCGGTCAATTGAAAAAATAAATATTAATATAGAATTAACCATCTGCCAAGACAGGGCGCTGGCACAATTAGTAAATCATTTATGATATAACATTTATAAAATATCATATATCATATTTATCATATTCTTAGATCATAAAACATATAATATTATCACCACACCAACTTTTTCTCCATTTCGCTACACTGAATTCAGCACTGGATTCCAAAAAAATTGTATTTAATTTCTAAAAAGATTGCTATTTCAGATTCTTACTTTTATTTGTGATTGGAAGACAGCTCTTATCCAGAGAAAACATATTAAAGCATTAAAAATGGTGAAGCACTGCCTGGCATAGAAGATTGTGGGGCACAACTGCAGACACCCGACATGAAAAACACTGTACCAGTCATTTTGGGTCTAAATATGATATAAATTGTTTTGCTTCATTGAAATTTACAATATATTCTGCATAAGTCTGGATAATTTGTATTTTTTAATTTCCAGCTAGAGATAAATTGATAATACTGCACAGGGAAACTACTTTGAAAAGGCAAACTAGTTTCCATTCAGTTTAGAATCTGTGTTTCACTGTAAACTAATCAGATACTCCAGTTTTCCAGCAGATCCAGCTTCTCCAACTAATAGCAAACAAATGGAAACAAGTCAGTAATTTATAACACATTTTGGCATGAAAGAATGATAGCTAAGATTTAAAAAGGAAATAGTGTACCAAATTTATTTTAAAACAGTAACAGATGCTATCATTGTACTGTATTAAAATACCACAAGAGAGGTTCAGATGAAGACTCTCCAGACAATTAAACCCACTTAAAAAAACTACCCACCCGTTTCCCATTACAGAATCAAGCTGTTTTCCATTATAGCAGGATTGATTATCTCAGTGTGTAAAGAAATGCTTATTGGTACCTATTCTAAAATTGCCATTTACCAGCCTGAGGCTTATTCCTCTTGCCCTGCTGCCTCATCTTAACTGAAAGTAAGGTAAAATAAAACATTAAAATATAGGTAACCACTTGAGAACTAATTTACAATAAATCATGGTGCAGCATGTTAGCTTCATACCTTGTCCTTCTTTCTCAAGCTCTGTGTCTTCTTTCTTAACTGCTGTTTCCTTATGAAAAATAAAAACAAATCAAGTGTAAACAATAATTGATTTCCATTCAATTCGGATCTTACAAATCATTTCTAAATGAAATAATAAAGTTACACATTATAGGAGATAATTTACATTGCATTGACTAATGAATTTTTTTAAAAATGTTGTTTGAATTGTTGAATTGTTATCCCCCAGTGCCTTCGCCTTGCTTCCTCCCTTTCCTCCTTCAAGGCCGGTCTCAAAACCTTTCTCTTTGACCGAGCCTTCAGCTCCCCTCTCGACTCTCTTCCCCCTTCTCGCTCCCTCCCATCCCTCCCCTCACCCTGACCATTTCCCCCCTCCTCGCTCCCTCCCTCCCCTCACCCTAACCATTTCCCCCCTCCTCGCTCCCTCCCTTCCCTCCCCTCACCCTGACCATTTCCCCCCTGCTCGGGTCATGACCCAACTGTGCAGCGCCTTGGGACGTCCTCCTGACGTGAAAGGCGCTTTATAAATGGAATCTTGTTGTTGTTGTTGTTATGTATGACTCCCCGATGTATAAATTGGTAAATGTAGAGTGTGTTTCAGACCAGGAAAGTCCCAGGTTTGACTGTTAGCATGTACTCTTTAACTGAATTCAGGCAGAGGAGTAGTGGGGGTCTACAATTTGCCTCAATGTCTTTGGGATTGTGGGGTGGAGAAGGAAATCAAGCAGTTTCTAATTGTTATTCAAGGATCCGGGGTTACTTATCCAAAGTACTGTTGAACTCTACATTAGCATGATTGAAAAGGTTTGACACTGGAAACTGACATTTGCATTGTATATCCAACCACACCAATCTCTGAGGCATTATTCACATCGAGACCAGGAAGTTGGAAACCACAAAGGAGTAAAGTTGGCAGCACCCTATACACAGCTGTTGTGCAAGGAGAAGTTAACACTTCACCACTAAAAACAATAGAAGCATATTTTAAATTCTCTTTGATGAGTCCATTTTTAATCGCTGTATTTTTTTATATCAGTCTGTATATAAATTTATGAAAAGCTGCAGTGGATCATTCGTGAAATGCAAAAGTGTCAGCATCAAGGTCCACAGAAATACTGGAGTCATGTTGTAAGTTAATGCCCCCAGAATGGCAAATCTGGCACGTATTCCCAATTTAGAAAATTGAAGGGTATTTTGCTTATGTGTTTTTGTGTACTACAGTGGCTCTGATTTTACATCGCTACACTATATGTAGAAATAATAATCCTTGCATTTGACACAGCAATGTATCACGTCGGAAGGATGTCTCAAAGTGCTTCACAGGATTTACTGTGCAAAATGGAGTGACTTCATTTGTAAGAAAACCCAGCAGCCCAATTGCACACAGCGATGTCCTACAAACAACCATGAAACAAGTAACCAATTTTATTTGAGGGATTGTTGGCCAGGACTCCAGGAGAAACTCCCTTCTCTTTTCGAATAGTGCCACAGGATGTTTAACGTTCACCTGAACAGACAGACGAGACCTCAGTTTAACATCTCATCTGAAGGACTGCATTTCTGACAATGCAATGCACCCCAAGCACTGCATTGGAGTGACAGCTTAGAACATGTGAGTTAAGTCCCAACAATAGTGATTTAAATTAAATTATTTAAATATTTTGATTTAAAAAAAATTAAACCTGTTGCTTTGTGCCACTCTCTCTTTCCTTAATGGTTTGGAGTTCTTGTTTTAATTTTTCTTCTTCTTCATTCTCATCGTCCTCTTCACTCTCATCTTCCTCTTCACTCTCATCCTCCTCTTCAATCTCACCTTTCTCTTCGTTCTCATCTTCCTCTCGAATCTCACCCTCATCTTTAATCTTATTTTCCTCTTCACTCTTTTCACTTTCATCCTCCTCTTTATTCTCATCCTCGTTCATATTCCCTTTCAGATTTTTTCTCTGCAACAATGAGAAACATTTGTCAGATTTTTTCCAATAGGAAAACTGGGATCTATTTTGTATGATTTCTTATTGGGATTCCTCAATATGGAAACTGGATACCACAATTGGGAACTCCTTCCAGTACCCGAACTAGCTACGGGAACTCAGCTCCGACATAATCTACTTCCTTCTTGGAATTCCCATGGATTGACAGGTATTCTCACAAGATTTCGTTAAGAATAAGGCAAAATTAGACCCTATTTTAAGAAAAAATAATGAAAGCACACATTGGAGTGAAATAACTTTGACCATGAAATAGCTATTGTAATAAACCAAAAAGAGATATAAGAAATGTCATGCTATTTTGACTGTTATTACTATTTGACTGTTATTAAATCATTACTGCTATTTGTCTAAAAATAAAGCACTCGAAAGTTTTAAGATGAACCTAGTGCCTTAAACAAAATCAATCTCAGAAAGAACATGAGAAGTTCACAAAGTACACAGACCACTGAAGGATTCCTACAGTAAGATGAAAGACATAGTGAGGAGAGTGGAGCAGGTTGTTGTTTTAAAAAGGCTCTGAAGAGTTAAGACCAGTTAAAATAGTTTGAATTATTATCGTTAATATTTCAAAATATCTGAGGTTTAATAGTAGGAAGAAACTGGAAGCTAAAATTAAGCCCATCAAGCAAGTTAAAAGGAGCTGTAATTATGTCAATTGCACATGTATAGATAATTTCACACCTTTTTTCAAATAAACTCACAACCCTTCATTGATTTATGCATATTTTTCATTGTTGTTTCAGTCACTGGGCATGGAAGTTACTGAACAATATTTTCATTAGCAACAGTAAACATGAACATTACACTTTTCTGATTTTTTCACTCAGAAGCAATCACAAATCAGGATCGATACATGTGTTTCATTAAAACATTTTAAGGGATATAATTACATCCAAATGCTGCTGCCCAAAAGTCTAATGTAAAATCTTACTTTAGACAATATTTGACACTTTTCTATTATTATCTTTATGTCTCCCAGTGAAGATGTTATTTTTAACTGAACTCATTTAAAACAATTTAAGCTTACCTCTAATTCCATTTTTCTAATTGTGCAATTGGGAGTATATTCTGCAATACCCCATTTGAATATTTTTATATCTGAATATTTGAAATTCAAGCAGTAAATTGTGAATAAATAAAATCAAGGAGTGGGGATGTCTAAGCTATGTGAGATGAGGAATCAGTCATATTCTAGTTGCAAACTAACTGTTAACATTTCTGCACCTCTAAGACTTCAAAAAAGCACCAAATGTCAGGCAAGTCTTTGATTCCAAAATAAGCAGTTTTCAATTTTAAATGTATAGTTTATGGTAAGGCGTACAACTTTCAGTCAGGAAAGCAAACGTATCAAATGTCATGGACCTAAAAGATCTCTTCACTCTGTTTCTTATACATTTAGCTACCAACAACAACAACTTCCATTTGCATTTATATAGCGCCCCTCACATAGGGTAGCATAAATATTCTGTCACAAGCAACTAATTCTGCATGCAATTTCAACCTTACAATGGTTTCTCAGTGGTAAGTTTGGCTTCTTTCCATCAAATTCCAATGGTTGATGATGACCTGTTTCTTTAATGATTTATGTAGATAGATTGCCAAAATTTAACAGATTATCAATTTGCTCTAATTTTTCTATGAAGGTAACATAATCCTTTGTTCAAAATACCAATTTGTATATCTGTTGACATTAATTTTAACCAGTAATGATCACGACCAAGCTAATTTTGTAAACATTCACTACTTAGTTGTTTTAAGATTTCTGAACTGGTCTGTGATTATATTTGGCGGATACATAAAACTCATATTTATTTACTGTGAAACAGACATGTAATTTTAAAAATATATAATCTCACTATACCTGGTCAACCTGCAATAAAAATGTTTCATCAATATCTATGCACAATCACAATATCTTTGATATGTAGCACCCACTCAGAGTGATCCACTTCTTTTTACTAACTTCATATTCACAACGATTTGCATTTATATTGCATCCTTCAGGTAGTTTAGAGTCTCAGAGTGCTTAAGGAGGGCCCTTGCAAACAATTTTACTCTTTAGTGCATACAATTACCCTTTAAAGTAAAATCAGCATATATTGTGTATGAAAAAACATATTATTGAAAACACCAGTGCTGTATCATTAAAAAGCTTAGGAACATTTCTTTCTAAATGTTCAATTTTGCATTCATTCAAGAACGTTCATCCAGCTCCCTTTGAGACCCAGTGTCATTTTCATGCATTGTTAGGTCAGCCATGAGAGTTTGAAAGAGCGTTAAACCAAAGAAGTGGGTTATTATAGTGTCGATATTGTTTCCAACAGCATGCAGAAACCATCACCAAGCTTAACAGTATCCAAACCTGAGGGAAGAGATCGTGGTGGAGGTGGGCAATGTTGTGGAGGTTGGGGAAGGCAGAATGGATTATGGCACTGATGTGGAGTTAAAAGACAGTTGAGGGTCAAACAAGATACCAAGGTTCCCTACTGGCTCGGTGAGGCGGACAGTGCATCAATGAATAATGATGCTATTAGCGCCTGAGGTGAGGAGGCGTTGACGGGAGCCGAGCAGGAAGTCTTATCGACATTCAACTGGAGAAAATTGGCTCTCATCCAGGACTTGATGTCTCCGTCAGGAGAACAATGGTCATGGAATTGAGGATGGAAGCAGAAAGATAGAGTGGGTATCATCCACATACATGTGGAAGTTAATCCCATGCCTATGGATTATTTCCCCAAGCGGACACATGTAAATATTAAAAAGAAGAGGACCAAAGACAGAACCCTGGGGAACACCACACCTAATGGTGCGAGGGCTGGAGGAGAAAGTGTTGGTAAATACAAAGTAGAGACGAAGAGAAAGGTAAGAACGAAACCAAGCAAGTACAGAACATGAAAGTGAAGCTGAGTGGAGAGGCTGTGGAGAAGAATAGAGTGGTCGACAGCGAGATCTAGAAAGACAAGTAGACAGAGAGCCCTGGTCACAAATGGACAGATTGTCATTTGTAACTTCAACGAAGGCTGTCTCTGTGCTACGGGCAGAACAGAAACCAGATTGGAGAGGTTGATGCAGAGAGTGTCAGGAGAGGAAAGAGCGAAGCTGGGAAGCAAAGACTTGTTCCAGGAACCCTGGAAAGAAAGGGAAGGTTGGAAGTGGGACCGTAGATTAAGAATAGAGATGTTATTTTGAGGGATGGGGTAATGACGACTGTTATTAATGGTGAGGGAACAGTACCAGTAGACAGCGAGGGGTTCACGTTGTCTGTTAATAGTGGGGTAGGAATGGGGTCCAGGGAGCCAGTGGTGGGCTTCATTTGGAAGATGATGGAGGTGAGAGACGACAGGGAAACTGGGTCAAAAGTGTGGATGGAGGGTTGACCGGAGAGGGAATGGGAGGTGGGGAAGGGGTGGCAGTAGAAAGGGCAGAGACAGCAGAGCGGATCCCCTCAATTTTGGACCCAAAGTCCAACATCTCCTCACATTTGAAGTTGGAGAAGAGGATGGAAAAGACATGGGAATGTGGACGGAGAAGCTGGATGTTAAGATTGTGCTAATCACAGTTCCACTGTCATTAGTTCACTAAATTTCACAAACAGTAGGCATTTTACAGCAGCTCAGATAAAAGGGTTTTCATATATTATTTTCCTTGCAAGAACAACGCCTAATTGCCATTACTTATAAAATCACCTGCATTGAGTTTTAACTCTAACCTCAGAAACCTTGTTATATTGGTATCAACGTTTCCATTTCCTGCCTCTGCCATCCTTGTTACCCTCTATTAATCAAATTGTCAGTTTTAATACTGTATAAAGGACTGTATTCACATGGAATTGTGCTCAGACAGCCTATACTACATCCATATAGAGACTCCTATTTCAAACATGGAAAAGTGATTTAAGAAGCATAAAGAGATAGGACTGTGCATTCTTCTTGACCTGTCCTGGATTTAACTCAAATTCTAGAAGTGAAAGACAGTGTGCTAATCTACTGCACTAATCGACTGTACTGCTATGTTGCATGGATTTATGAGAACATTCAGGAATTTTATTAAATATTTTAAAATACAATTCCTATTGATTTTATAGTTCCCAACATCATAAACATATGGGTAACAAAACAACAACAAGATTTCATTTATAGAGCGCCTTTCATGTCGGGAGGACGTCCCAAGGCGCTGGACAGTTATATTTCACATTGGGTCAGGACCCGAGCAGGGGGTCAGGACCCGAGCAGGGGGGAAATGGTCAGGGTGAGGGAAGGGAGGGAGCGAGGAGGGGGTAGAGAGTCAAGAGGGGAGCTGAAGGCACAGTCAAAGAGAAAGGTCTTGAAAGCAGCCTTGAAGGAGGAAAGGGAGGAGGCGGCGAAGGCACTGGGGGATGGAATTCCAGAGCCTAGGGGCTGAGAAGCTGAAGGCCCGGCCACCAATGGTAGGGCGGTTGGGGTGGGGGATGTGGAGCAGACCGGAGCCACAGGAACGGAGGGTACGGGCAGGTAAGTAGGGGGATAGTAGGTCGGAGAGGTAGGAGGAAGCAAGGCCATGAATGGCCTTGTAGGTGAGGATGAGGATCTTGAATTCGATCCTCTGGGGGATGGGATGCCAGTGGAGGCGAGCGAGGGTGGGGGTGATGTGGTCACGAAGCCTGGTGCGGGACAGTACACGAGCTGCAGAGTTCTGAAACATAGCCACTACTCTTTATAGTATATCCTGTGAAGCACTTTGGG